TAGATTATTGTAATTAATAAAAACTTTGTGGTAATGAAAATGTAATTTGTTTTTATATTCAACATTAGAGTCAACAAACAAAACTTGATAACTTATAAAGTATTATTACCTAACACATAATGTTAATTTTTAAGGTAAATATATTTTATTTTCAGTGTTTTCTAGTATTTATTTTTAGTTATATGTACGATTTGCGTTGAGTACCCTCAAGAGTTTAGGCTTAAATATTATTTCATAATGTTTTTCCCCTCCCCTTTCTCACAATGTGGCTCGAATAGAATATAGCAAAACACAATCTATAATTCTTATCCGTCGCTGTCTCCTACTGTTTTGAAAGTTGAAATATATTATAACATTCGTGTCATCATCACTGTCAGATTTTGTCATTAAAAAAATGATCTGTCACTTACTCCGACGAAAGATAAAATGTCTTTTCTTCTTCAGTGTGTCTTTATTTGGGATTACAAATGATCGATGACGTGGCAAATTTAAATACCTACAGTACATGGGTATTTATATATATATCGACTATATGGGTTCATGTTCAGAATCCACGATATAAATGTCCATAGAAATCAATAATAAATGTACCTACTCAAATACTATACAAGTTAATAAAACATCACTCTATGAGCATACTAAGTTTCTGATCCTATAAATAATTCATGAGCGCAAAATGCAATATGCCCAATAGTTAATGTTACATTGCCTATTCAAATTCAATATGTTCAAATTAACATTACCAAAACAGTAAACACATATTATGAATAATCCTTTAAAAACAAACTGTTATTAATCATATAATTTAAATAAGTAGACTTATTAAAACAATTTTTTTAAAGATTCTACAAGTACTAAATGAATGCTAAATATCCAATAAAACAAAAATATTATAATATATTATAGTAATCTATAACATTTAATATTATAAACCATAATTTTAGTTAATATGTACCTTTTAATTGTAAATTGGAAATAGAAACCAAGATATTAAAACCAAAAAAAAAAAAAATTGTTTAGTATCTATTCTTATATACATACAATTAAAAATAATATTTGTTTAAAAATTCACAGTAAATGACACATCATATTTTATGTCAATTCAATGAATATTTAAAAACCACATAATATTAAATAAATGCATTTTAATCTAGTAAATTAAAATATTTTGTAGATTCTAAGTAGAATGATGAGTCCATTGGTTTTAAAATTATGTGATTAAATTTTTTTTTTTTAATTGGTTTTCTGTTATCACTCTTAATGCTTAGATTTTTAACTTTGAAAATTATTTTTGGTATAAAATTGAATATATTAGATATTTAAAATGAGGAGAAAAGAGGGATTTAAAAGATCAAACTACACAATTCTAAATTTTTTTTTTTTTAATAACCAGGAAAAAAAAAGTTAGGGAAAGTAGAAACTTTTATGAAAAACAAGTTTTCGAAAATAAATTTCGTTTTTTTATTGTAATTCAAAAATCAATATCTGCAAAGACTTGACATTTCCATAGAATTTTTATATTATTATTTACTAGAGAGCAAATAATGTTCAACATATTTTTGCTCTGTTTGTGTCATCGCTAGGTATTTTAATTGTCCTACTCTTTTTATTTTTCTTTCAATGTAATTTTTTATTTAAAAAAAAATGTTGATAAAAATATTTGAATTTTGTCAACAAGTTTGAAATTAATTTTATAATTCCCATAAGTAATTCTTTTAAAACTATAAAATATAGAAAAAAAATTAGAGGCAATTTTTGTTTATAGACATTAGAAGATAAAAGTTTGTCAAAATTAAATACACAGTGTTATAAATAAAAAATAAAGATTTTAGTTAAGGAATTAAAAAAAATTAGTTGTGGGAACTTAAGATTTTATTATGTAATTAAATTTGCGTATATGATAAATCATAAATTCGTCATATAACTAGAATAAGAAAATATGAATAATATAATAAATTTAATATTTTCGCCAACAGTTAATTTAATACAGTATATAACTAATAGTAAAATTTATTACATTTAAACATTTTAATACATACATAAGAAGGACTTACTCAATGACGTTGTTAACTCGTAAGAAGTAAAACTGTAGAATGGTTACTTACTTTTCTCTTTTTTAAAAATTGTATAATTTAGTTATATAGTGAATTTGTTTAATTGGATCAATTATTTAGTTAAATTATGTAGTGGTATAAAAAAAAATTATTTAATCCATTTATCTTTTTCATACAGCAACTGTAATATTCGTAATTATAAATAAGAATATTTTCTTATTATAAATTAAGATACTATTGAACCCATTTTAAGTTGCACCAGGCTATATGGTCAATTTTTGTAGGACGTAATGCAATAAAGTTGAAAAATGTATTAAGCTAGGTTTAGATCGATTTAAAACTAATTATTGTGAAAAAAATATACAAATTTTTCTGGGAATGAGGTAGAATTTTCACCATGCATATTATATTTGTGGGGCTATTATTACTACTTGTGTATGTTTTTCACAAATTAGATATACGACAATGAATCGATGTGGTAAAGTATAAAACAGGCAATCATTATACCTTTCGTCCAATTACTTTAAATTCCACTTCATAACAATATTGTTAAGCCTTTACAATGGTAGATATAGGTAGATATTACATAATATTATATGTTACAATAATGTACAGTTAACTTTCATTGTAGCATCATGGTAACTCGTAAGTGTACCAAATTTTAATAAACAGAATAATTTTTTTAAACATATTTAAAGGCATAGACTTAAAAACTACTAATATTTTTAACCTAATTTAAGAAAAAAAAGTTATGATTTTATTATTTTTTTCATCATTATTTTATTTTTATTCTTTGAATGAAAGTAAATAATTTTGGTTCCACATTTAAGAGAAGAATATATTTCGTTTATGTAAAATTTGAATTTTAAAATAGTAATTAATTACTTAAATATCGTAATGAGTCAAAAATAAGTTTGGCCAATGTTATTGATGAAACTTTACCTTATAATAATATATTAACTTTTTAGGTGTTTATAGTTAGGTTCTTTCAAAAAAACAATGGAGGTAAGAGTATGTACGTTCTTTAGCTTCTTCGTTTATAATTTGTTAGAGCATGTATATTATTACGATTTAATTCAGGATCGTAAATACAAATTTATAATTATAGATTATTTTTACCTTCCTTGTAACACCGGAGTCTACGTGTGTTATTTTTACTTGTGATAATAATATTCTTTCTGCCCTTAATGTACTTTAGTATGTAGATACATTTTCTTACATGATAGGTGTTGATAACTGGATATCAAAAATATCAAGATGTAAATTTAACATAAATTAAATGAATAAAATAAAAACAATAGTTCGAATAAGGTATATGACATTATATTAAAACTTTACAATGAGTGAAATATCAATGTAGACTGTTAAATAAATACTTTCTTGCTTTTGAGAATAACGTTGGTGAGGTTCTGTGAGGAAAGGCTAATGACAGGATCTAGACTACTCGATGGAGACAGAATCCTTGATGAAGACTTCACTGACTTTAATGACAGAATGGGGGTTCTATTTATAGACTTGATCTTTTACTTGTTGTTCTATTTTAATTTATTATTATTTATTTTATATAAATACATCTGTATTAAAAAAATTTTTTTTTATACGATATAAAGTATTTAAAAAATAAAAATTATATTTTACTAATTATTTGGTACTTATTTTAATATATGATTGTAGTTTGTAAATACACATGTTTATTGGGTGTTATTGGTAATTTTTTAGATATTGTAATATAATATAGTATAATTATAAATATAAGTGTTAATGATATAATTTTGATTTTTATAATATTGTTTATGGATATGATTATTTACTAAGCATTAAGATGAATTATCAATGATATTATTAAGATATTTAACTATAAAGCTTAGTGGCGTAATGATTTGAATATCATTACAATTTACAACATATATAAATAATTAAAGTTTAAATTCTCCGAGTGGAATGTCATATTTCATAAAATGTTTTTTCACTGAAGAATTTTTGAGTTTTAAAAAATTATACTGAATAAATTATTTTCTATAACGTGTATAATTATTGTATAATCAGTGAATAATGTTTTATGTTTTTGTGTAAACGGAAATCAGTCGAAAAAACTCTTGTTGATCTGATCGGCATACGTATTGCTCAGTTTGATTTGGGATATCGTGTACGGGGAATTTGTGACATTATGATTTATTATTAAACCACCTGGACCCCATAACCACTGGTGTACATAATATTCATATAGGTACGTTTTCCACCCTCTTCCTGTTTTGTTAATGCTTATCGTCCGGCAGTGATTGAGGTAATCGCGTTTGTCATGATTAAATTTCCTTTCCCGAGAGAAAATTCGAAAAAAAACATATTTTATTGTTGCTTGTTGTGACAATAAACTAATATGTTTCAATTTAGACGGTTTGTCGATTGCATTTTTGAGAATTGCTTCATAGGTTTTGGGTTCACAAGCAATAGCTATACAAAGCAAAAAAGTTTAATTTATTCATTGCCGTTATTCTAAATGGAATGGTATGAAATAAAACGAGAAATAACTCGTGTTTTTGCCTTTAAAAGTAAAGAAAGAAATATAAAATCGAAATGTTCGATTCTAAATATTTAGAGTAAAATAATAATGATATGTACTGTAATAGATTTTGATACACTAATATTACCGAAAATTAATGATTTTCAACGCTAAAAATGTATCGTAAAAATGTTTATATGTTAACTGATCTCCGATTTCTTCTATTGCCATTTATGTAATATAAATTAAATTTTTATAATATAGCCGTAATCGTAATCTTAAGTTTTACAATATATTGAATCGTTGTTTTAAATTGCAACTTTGCTATAACCTATTGCTTTACATTGAAAATATAAAATATAATAAACATATATTACTGGCTTATTATAAACATTTAGGCATATTAAAGATTTTCATTAATTATACTTGATATTTTTTTTTTTCAGGTAAGAAAAAAACAATTTATGACAGTGCTTATTATTTAACCAAAATTCAAATTTGCTAACATATCAAAAAATCGTAAGAGTACCTATTTTATAATAAATAATACATTAGTTATTAGATTTATACTATCGTTTAACATTTTACATTAAGATTAAGGTGAAAACTGATATTTTAGTTTTGAATGAATTTTTAGAGATATTTGTTATATTTAATTATCTAAAACATATTACATAATATTATAATAATAGTATTTATAATATATTTGATTATTTGTGTTTAAAACTTAAATTATTTGACAGGAATAAATGTAATTTTTACAGAATTTATCAAATTACAAATTTAATTTTATATCCTCGAGATTAGTATTACATTATTTTTTATAACCTTAAAATATTGTGTATTTATATATATATATATATATATTATAATATAAAAATATGCTACAAGCATTATTTGTTAACTTAGTGAGACAAATATCCTTACTAATTACATTTCAAAAACAAACCTAACATACTAAACGGATCCGGAAATCGTATAATAATAATACACGATAGATTAAGTTATTTTTATTTTTTTTTAATTGCATCACTAAACGAAATTCATTAACAAAATATCAAAATATATACAGGTGGAACTGAACGTTTTAGATAAGTCATTTCGACGTCTATTAAAATGTGTCTAAAGACCCGTGGGCGTACACGTTCGAATTTAAATATCATTTTTGTCTATCACATTCACATATTTTTCATATTCAATTGAATTTAATTTTTAACAATATATAACATAGTTTTATGAATTGAATTCGTATTAATTATACTTTATAACATTATAGATTATCATATTTTTCATATTTACTGTTAATAGTTATTACGTTATAATTCTTGGTTATATCAACTAAATTGTATTAGATCTAATAGTTAAACTAATGGATTTTATATTTTAAGATTATTCTAATTTGTTTTTTTATTTAATACTATCTGATGTAAATACTTTCTGATTAATAAATAATATTATCGGAAAATAAACGTAATTTGTATTTCATAAACTGTTTAAAATAGCCTCGTGGTAAATTTGTGTAAGAAAAAAATGTATTATTGTCCGGTATCATAGACATTTAAAATAAAAATATATACATAAAATTAATATGCATATTATTATTTGATAAAATATTACATTTAATTACTGTTTAAATATGCTACATTTTAAATTACTTTTTTACTTATAAATTATAATCTTATTTTGTTCGCTGCATGTATAAGTAGACTCATAAACATTTTAAATACACACTCACAATTTTTAAGTATTTATTAATAAATTGAAAAAAAACAAAAATGTAAAGCAAATCGTTAAAAGTTTTTTTTAATATAATGTGCACATAGAGTTTTTGAAAAATATTTTGGCAATTTCTTGATACATTAGGTACTAATTTAATATTTCATTTATGTCGCAAATCATTTTTTTTTTTTATGCAGTTAAAATTGTTTGTAACTAATACATTTTATTTAAGTTAATTATATGTTGTGGATATTTTGTTTTCGTATATTCTGTTATCTGATATTTTCACCTCAATATTAATTTTTGTCACATTTTTACTAAAGTTATTGATAGATTAAGAGGTAAGTTATTTTTCAAAATGATTTATAATGTTATTTGGATAATTTACATTGCTTGAACACCGTATTAAAATACTTTAATATGATTTACTCGATAAGTTATAACAAATATTTCAATACAGACGTTGTTTAAAATAATTCATATACATAAAAAAAAAAAAAAATGAATCATTTATTACGATACCTTTATTTTATTTATTTTTTCTATGGTTTACATATATTTATACAATTAATATATATATTTAGCACGTGTGGAGTTATACATTACTTTATGGCCTCTTCAGGAAAATAACGATAAGTTTCACGTTACCTCGTAAATGTCAGCAGTTATTCGATTGCTCTCGATAAATAAAAGTATCGTTTGCATGTGTAAATATCATTAGGCGTTTCAACCGGTTCACTCCATAGGAGACGATATTAGTAGTTTGTTCTCCTGTCGACTGTACAATAACAATAGACCCAGACTCGCCAGGAGTCTGTAACTATACAAGTGCTCTTTTGTTAGACGTCAGCAGTTATTAAATTTATTCCTTAATTATCAATTACCAAAATATTATACATTTTAATATATTAAAAATAAGTTTAGATGGCTGGAGAATTTTTTTTTACAGTTTAATGTAATGTTTAACAGCGTACAACACATCTAAATAACATTCATTAACATAAATAAATAATTATAGGAAGGTAATCATAAATATATAATCAAAAATAAATATAAATTAAATAATAGAAATATCTTAACAGTTGATACTTTTATTATTATTATTACTATTTTTTTTTTTTGTATTGAAATATAAGTAATAATTTATTACTTCATATATTTTTAACATTAGTAATAGATTGTTATTACGTGCTTTGCATATGACTTATAGTAACTGTGTTTAAATTAAATGTTTTTTTTTTTTTTTTAAATGTCATTAACTGTATACGTTTTATTTTTATTTGAAATTGAATGCATTCTTTTTATATTGCAATGATTTATTTCATATTTTCATGTACTATATTGTAATAACATACTCATAGTATAACACTAGAGTGTTCTTATGTATCGCTTAATCTGAGTTTCACACGTTCTACTACAATATATTCCTTGTGTGTGTTGAGAACTTGTAGTCACGACCGGTTATGTTCGTGAATTCAAAATTTAAAACGTTAAAAAGAATAAGAAAAATCAAAATATAATTATAAAAAATATTAATAATCTTGATAATACCAACTAAAAATGGCTACTTTAAATCGATAACAAATCCATTTAAAAAATAAAGTGGGTAGTAATTAATTACGCATGACGTCCATGTCCCCACTATTTACTATTCACGATAATGCAACTTAAAATTTAAATTTAAGAAATATTTTTTTTTTATAAATAATCAGTAGATCAAGAAAATTCTCTAATTAACTGTAAAAATAATCATAACTATAACAAAATATAGTATTAATTATTAGTTTTCTATCTGAAATCAATACATTTTGTTTTTGTATTATAAAATCATAAGAAATTGTTTGAATTATAAATGTATGACTATTTAAATAAATTAGTCATTTTAGGAATAATATGATATTTTTGATTGTATTTGTTTTTTTGTTTTTTGAAAAATATTACATTTTGTTTCAGGAACAACGTTGACTTATCGTAATTGATAATCCAATAGTTTTATCAATTATTTATATGATATGGGTAATGGGTATTAGGTATTCTTTTTGACATCAAATACTTTTAATGTTTAGTTTTATTCTTAATTTTTTTGAACATTTAAGCTGGAACATTATTTGAACTGACAATCAAGTTGTACCAATTTTTAATTATGCACTAGTTTGCCTAAATAAGTGGAAAACATAAAAATTAAACACAGTATATTATCGTTATAAATGTTGGTCCTACGTAATTATTCAAATTTATTAGTCATGTATCTGTGTCTATAATAGGTCGACTGGTATTTAACAGCTACGGTTCAACTGGTAGGTATATTATACTCGTTTATTTACGACCACTGTCCGTCACTAGATTTTGCATATACTTTCATATGTCCAATCAATTATAATATTTTATTAGTCACAGTTATTTAAAAATTATAAACAAATTATGGTCACGGAAAACAATACTCAACTTATATATGAGAAAATGCTTAGATATTAAATAAAACATTCGTGTAGACTTACAATATTTATTTTCGATTATTTTAAAATTAATTATAATATAATATCGTAAAAGCTTACATTTAACAAGAGTCCAAATTGTAGGCATAATTTGAGAGATTGTTTTAGAACTATATTGCAGTTTTATTTTGACTTTGGTTTAGAGTTTCCATGTTCACAAAACATACGTCTTTTTTTAGTCTTTATAAATATTATGGAACTCTAACTGATAAATTTATAAATTCAATATCATTTCAGAATAAAATAAAAATATTTTGATATTCCAGATTATAAGAAGTACTATTAGTGATACTTTTGATATCATTACACTATATTCTTCTGATAAAATGTATCAAAGTGTATTATGTTTAAAATAAATTCCTTTAAATTTCACCAAACTATTTATTTTATAAAACTAATCTATGAGTAATTTATATCATAAATATTTAGTATCATTAAATATTATGTAATTATGTTTTTAGTTATTGTGATCTATTACTTTTCTCATGATTTATGAATGTATATATTACAAGAAAATAGATACTCTAACTTCTAACTATATAATAGTTATTTAAATATTAATCTATTAGTTATACATTTCTAAATTTAAGTTTATTAAATAATATTTTTCTAATTTTAGCACTTATTTGAAATATATTTGTATTTTTGTAAAAAATTAAATAGAAATGTAATCTTAAATTAATTTTTTGTTAAAACTTGCGACTAAAAAAAATTATCTTCGGAAAAAATATAACTGTAATCTGACATCTGGCATCAATAATAGAACCAAACTATAATTTATATTTTTAAGGAAAAAAATATATCTAAACGTTATAAAACGTCTGAATAATCGTTTTTTATTAATTAATATCAATTGGTTTCATGCGATGTGTATGGAACTCGTTTATTAGATATACAAAATAATACCATTTAATTATAATTTTATTACATTCTGAGGTAGTGTATTCATGATTACTCGAACACCCTTATTTATTAACGAATTATCTTCTCTCACGCTCCCGGAAATTCTTCTTACTATCTCAAAATATAACGGTGCAGAAATCTACTCTAATATGACAAAAAAAAAAAAAAAAAAAAAACATAACGACTTAACAATTTAACCTAATAGGTGTACTAATAGAGTTGTATTATTAAACATCAGCAGAAGTGACTTAAATAAGGGGATTTTTTTCATAAATATTCAAGATAAAAACACATATTGTTTACATAAGTTATCGTTGTTTATAAATAAACTGTGCAGATTGTATTTTTTTCTAAATAAAAAAAAAACAAAAAAATTATAAATTGAAAATTTGTCCATTAGAAAATATACGTTAAACAGCCATAGACGATATACTATTTACATAACATTTTTTAACGAAAATGACAGCGAAAAAAATA